GGTCATTTCTCATCTCACTGTGAGTTCAGTTGTGACCGTGGGACAGTTTAGGGCCATTACAGCTTAAAGCAGAATTTATGTGGTTTGGACCAAACACATCATGTCCTTGTAGCAGTAAACTGACATCAGGACATCTTAATGGGGGAAGTCAGTAAAGACTGAATACCTGTACATTTCATAAGGTGTAAAAATACTTGCTCACTCCACACTTTGCAAATCACAAACTATGCAACATTTGCAGGTGTCAGCAGTTTAATATCCTAATATAAGCAGACTTCACTGTTGTATTTACAAATGTAAACAGACCTACAGAAGCAAATTGAATTTAATGGTACATTTGATAAAATTCTGTATAATATAATGTCCTTGTATAGTTTTGATTCATTATGAGTTTGTATTTTTGTCATTCCTTTAATCTATGTTGGTCTGTATTTGGCATAGATGGGCTTCCACAGACATAGTGCTGCAGTGAAACCAAGACCATGTCTAAACCTGTTGTCCAGACAAACAAATCGGTGTGAAACCAGCCCGGCAGAGACGATGTCCTTGCGGGACTCACATCCTTCAATTCCCCCCCCACCCTCTCAAGGAAGCAAAGAGAGCAGACTGAGACACGCAATGAGAGGAAATAATAGTGTTTGAGATGTAGGCGGCAGAACAACTACCCCAGAAATAACAATAAGTTGACATTTGATGTGATGGTATAGAGGATTGTGGGAGAGGATACACGTGATTAATTCCGGTGAAGTGGTGTGGTTTGTGTCGGCGAGGAGTCGAGGAGGGAGACCGAGAAGGAGTGTGTTCCTGTCAGGTAAGATCGTGTTTATTGGAGGAGACGCTCCGTCGCGGTGTCTCTTGAGAGGAATAAATGCTATTTCTGACTTACGGGGCTTTCTCGGAAACAAACTGACAAAGTGTTTGGGCAGCGCTTCGTGTTTTTGTTTACAATGGCGTCGACCGCCGCGCCTGATTAATGACTTCAGTCAGTTAAAGCGCACGTTAGCGCGTGGATTACGATTTCATAAGAGCCATATCATCGCATTGATATTAAGGGAGCAGACAGGTGGAGAGATGATCACCTGTAGATTCCCTACAGCGACACAAATGAGACCATAGTGAAGCAGCTGATTGGCTGTGTGTGTTCAGGTATAGATAAAGGACAAAGGATGAGGAAGGAAACAGTTGGTAGTTTGAGAAAAATCTTTTGTTTTTCTTTTAAACAGAACCAGTTCACCTTGTCATGATTTAAAAATCCGTTTAAAACCTAAACATGCAATATAAACATCTTAATTTATGAACACACTCCTCTGATTCTTTTGGAAACGTTTGTTCTCTTTCCACAAATGGCATTTTGTTTGTACTCTAACTATTTAATCTTGACAAATAACCTTTCATGCTGTGTATTGTCTTCACTGGTTGGTTCATCAGTCGGTTTTATGCCAAGAAATAGTTCCAGTGTGTACTTTCAGCAAGTCTCCATTAAAACAAGGAGATGTCATTTTTACATTTCTTTTTTTTTCCCCAGATACAATATGGTGTGTTTATCAGGGAGATGTAGAGCTGTTGCGCAGACGTTACTTTGTACAAGTGGTTGTTGCTATTAAGATTATTCAGTCTTTAAAAAGGCCTGTACCTGATGAATTTAGATGCTGAATATTTTTGTTCATTTTCTATTAACACTTTATTCTAATGTTCAGACTGGCTCCAGACTCCAGGAACTTAATCATCTACAACAGTGAAGTGTCGCTTATACACGTATGTTTTTGTATGGATTAAACAACCAAGATATTACATGCTAGTGAGCTTTAGAGGTGCTGTGTGGTGGAGTTTGTTACCTTGGCGATTGCCAAGCTGGCTTTTTCCTCCTGTTTTCAGTCTTTATGTTAAGCTAAGCTAAGCTAAGCTAAGAGCTGACATGAGAGTGGTATCATTATTCTCATTTAATTCTTGCCAAAAAAGCGAATAAGCTGAATTGCCGTGCACTAACAAATGTTTTTGTTTTTTTGTTTTTGTTTTTTTAAAAGACTGGTTTTAGGGGGAGTTGGGTGGTATGGCTATGAAGAACAATCAATCCACCCAGTACTTCCATGCAGTGTCTCAGCTGGTTGCCTAGCAACTTAATTTATTTAGTGCATTTACAGTCAGGTTACAGTCAGTAAGCTGATTTCTTCAACGTCATGCGAACGACAAACATGGCTTCTACAATCGGGGTAGGGAATTAGATCAACCTTGTGTCTGCGAGAGAAAGTGTATTTCTTGGCCGTGTATATGCATTTACCAGGTTTCTTATAGACTTTTTACTGTGTGCCTGACAGGGAAAGTGATGCTGTAACAACAGGGCAGTAGAACGAAAGCATAGATCATGTTGTGACACATCAGTGTATTCCAAGTTTAATTGAATCTAAAACTGATCTTAAATGGAAACCGACACAACGTAGCCTCTAGAAGTTTGAATAAGTCGTTTGCCACCGCGGAGTGTTTGTCTGTTTAAGTTCAGACACATTTGTGCTGTAAGGGCCAGGAGCACTACCACAGTTAGAATGACTCCTGTAAAATGAATAATATTTCCACATTAGATTGCCTTGGTGAGCAGTATATAGACAGTATGTATGTTTTGTCTGATTTCCTGCTTAAACAAATCTCTCCAATGACCTGGTTTCTTTAGTGAACATGACTTAAAGAAGTCACTGTGCCTAACTATATAGATTAAATTTAGTTGATTTCACTTTTGCATAGACAGCATGTCAGTGAAGCACTATAAAGATGCTGTGACTGGCTTTGGTTGCTGCACCATTGTCTTTACAGGCTACATGCCAGGCTTAGAGGGCTTTGTAAATACCACAAGTAATGACAAGAATGTAGACAACTTCAGTGCTTGGTGCCACTTCTCCTCATTACTGTCATCAGTGACTTGCCAAAACACACATCTCTTCATTTTCTGTTCATTTTCAGTTTTGGCACTTGTCAGCTGACAGCAGTGCAAGCGTATAACATGTGTCATCCTCCTGTAAGAGGGTGAGTCTTGCTCTGAGACTGGCTAAACCATAGAGGTAAAATGTTGCACATGTGAAATATAAGCTTATCAGAAAATCAGCTGGCTGCTCTTTTTGGCTTTCCGAGTCACCAAGCTCTCATATTGTAGATGATTAGCACAGCAGTGGGGTTTTTTTTTCTGCTCAGTTCAAAGTGTTAAATCACAATCTCAGTTATAATCTGTGACAAATTCATCTTGGTGCAGCTGATGTTTGATTAGTCATTGACTTCAAATAAGTGCGGAGCAGTGTGCCCCCTCATCATCATGTTAACAGCCTCAGAGACTTCTGACAGTCATCATTTGGATTTGTTTAAGGCTTTTTTCAGTTGTCCAATATACATATATGTATATATGTATATGTGTGTATATATATATATATACATATCTGTATATATTAGGCTTTTATCACATCCCCTCAATTTATACCCTTGTGATTCATGTACAGTACAATCTGTGCTGTGCCACAGTACTTATAGATGTGTCGTGTCGTTGCGTGCACACTGGAATAGAGACAAAAAATACTTATATATATAAATATATATATCTATATATATAGATATATATATATAAATAATGGTATCCTGTGGATGTATTGTGCATTGCCTTAAAATGCAGCACATGGTGGATATTGCTCAGCTGATGTTAGTGTGGAGGAAAAATGTGGACAGCGGGTTGACGGCTTGTCAAACCAACAAACTGCATAATTACTGGATGTCTTTGTAAGGAATTTTAGCTAACAAGTTTTTTAGATTTCATATTGACAGCAGCTTTCTGAAGTCACAGTTTTTTTCACAATAGTTACCCAGTGCCACAGTGGGATAAATGTGGCTCAGTGACCTTTTCATCTGTTTGAAAAACCTTAGGAGTGACATCACTTTGTAGTAGTAAGAGAGAATTGTGAGAAGCATTTTAAAAAGATGATGTATGTAAAAACAGTGTTCAAGATTACAACAAAAATAAATGCAAATAAACTTAGTAAGTCTTAACAAAGACTGCAACTAATGATTAAATTAAAAATGTAAAATACTCTTTTTGATGACTTAGTCTATAATATACTGTAAAATAGAAAAAAAACTCATTACAACTTCCCACAGTCCAAGATGACATTTTTAAATTTCTTTTCTCCAACATAAATTTGCTAGAACCACAGAATGTTTGACATGTTTGCTTGATAAATGATTAACTTAGTGATCAGTCTGTTTCAACTACTTCTTTGTTGATCAGTTAATTGACTAATTAAGTGAGAATGAATTAAAGTTTAATTCAACAGCTTAAAGTATCTTTATACCGGCCCCACACTGGAGGGTAACTGGGCAGATTTTGGGTCAGATTCACCACCTCCGGACAATCAAGGGGGCGTTCTCGAATTCCAGGCTGGTCTGAATCACTTATCTTCCCAAATGATCCTGTAGTGTGAGGGATTTACTGACTGTTTGCAAATGGTTCACAGTCTTCCCCAAATCGAATCGCGTTGTGAAAGAACAGCGATGGATCATGAATATTAAGCAGAAACCGGCAACTGCCAATGAGAGCAATTCGGCAAGCTGACCAAATGTTGCCGTTTGTGACCCCCCCGCCCCCCCCGTGTGCACCAAGCCATATGTGGATAAGTCACCTGAAACTAAAGCTGGAGGTGAGCATTGCCCTGTGACTGAACCTTGACCCCAGGTAACCCCTCCCACCTGTCAACTGTGGAATCGCTCACAGCCACATGAGTCCTCCCTCTCTCCACTCTCTCTCTGTCTCTCTCTCTCTCTCTCTCTGCTCTGCTCTCCTGGGCATGTCTTTACATGCCGAGAAACACCAGGAGAGGGAGGAGACAAAAAAAAAAAACAAAAAAAAAAAACAAGAAAAACCGGAGAGCATGAGAGACAGAGAGACAGTATGGTAGAGGGGGGTGTGAGGTATTAACACTGGGTTGGAAAGAGCTCAGGGCGTGAGAAAGGAGAAGAGAATTTCATGGTAAAGCTGCAGTTGGGTACCGATGCTTAAAATCGTAAGAGTGGACAGAAACTGAGAGGAGGGAAGACTGTAGCTGTAATTGGAAGACGGAGGACGACTCAGGCAGGGGAGGGGTGAGATACAGTGTCATTATATTTATGAAAAGCAGGCTGTCATTTCCTCTCTTTACTCATTCCTTCTCCCTCGTTCTGATTTTTTTTTTTTTTTTTTTTTTTTTTTTTTTTTTTTGACAGAACAGCTCCACGATCTCCATGAGAGGCATGATGATGAACGGTGGTAACCATGGCTTTTGGGTTTCAAACCCAGCAACAAAAAGATCAAGATCGATGGAGGAAACAATGAGGCGAACCATTAGCTGACTTGACCTTCCTCTGACTCTTCTTCCTCTCAGCATTACACCTCAAGACCTGCAGGGGAAGGACAGCAACTGATAATAATCACCTGATGCAACACTTGCAGGAGCTGCCGGTGTGAAAAAATACCCAGGCATTGCCCAGAGCTGTCACGAACGGGAGCTGTCGCCGGCTGCAGCTCAACCTCAAAGTTACCTTAAAGGAGCATGGGACGTGGAGTTCAGAGCAGTGAGTTGTCCCCTGGATGTCAAACCACCAGGAGCAAATGAGTAGCAGTGGATTTGGCAGCAGTTCCAGCTTGCTCCAGGGCCGGCGTTTCTACTGCCGGGAATGGGCCCTGAGCAAGCTGCGGCACTGCCTGGACGCCCGTTCTGTGCCAGGACAACCGCCAGGGCTGCTGGTGATGGGGGGTCCTGGCGCTGGGAAGACTGCCCTGTGTACTGAGATGGTGTGGCCCACCTCGAAGGCAGGGGTGGCAGTTGGGCTCGCATCCCGCTGCCTGGCCTCCCACTTCTGCCACAGGGAGGACCAGAGGAGTACGGTGCCGTGGAGGTTTGTCCTTGGCCTGGTGGAGCAGCTGAGGGCCTCACCTCTCCTCTCTCCTGGGTACAAAGAGATCCTCAAAAGCCCGACTGTATCCCCTGCTCTGGAGCCTCTCACCTGTCAGAGAGACCCTGACGACACCTTCAGGAGGTTTGTATCACATTATTTCAAAATTTTCCTCAGAAAATTCTCAGAGTTAGGATGTCAAGGCACAATTTTTTTGATGTGACAGTCACTCGCTTGATCTGAAGAGGGGGGAACTTTTTATTGAGCCAGATTGAAGGGAAATTTCAAGGTTGTCAAATGAGAGGGGGCGGAAAGTTGCCGAAAGGTAACAAGCATGGAGCCCATCCAGACGCTCGGCGTGTGTGTGCATGTTGGAGAGCGTGGCTCATTCCCAGCTCAGCCCAGCAAAATTTATGTGTGGTATCACTGTAAAGGAGGAAATTGTTGATGAAAGCAGGAGCAGTTGAACAAAATTACATGTGTCAGCAGGCAAAAAAAAAAAAAGTGGTTTATCAGACTCAAACATCAGTGAAAACAACTTAGTGAAAACCTGCAACACAAGTTTGTTGTGTAAAAGGTCAGTTTCAGCATGTGGTTGTTGTCACCAAAAAACATCTGTCGTATAATTATTAAAATAGGTATCTGATCTGATCCAAGTTTGATTTGACATCAGAGACACATTGATGATCTCAATGTGAAATCTATTAATTTGTAGCCTGTTGCTCAGTTGACTACAGTTGTAACTACAGCTGCAACTGATGATCATTTTCATGACAGATTTAGATTTAGACATGTTAAAACTATGAGACACCAGAAAAGAGGGAACCCATCACTATCTCATATTGATTGGTTTTTTAGACCAGTTGTCTAAAAGTGTAACAAGTGTAAAAGTGTTGGTGTAAAACATGCAATAATTGGTTTTGTTTTGTATTATTTATAGTTTACATGGCACTGCTAATGCGGACAACATCAAGATGCAAAACAGTAACAACAATGATACAGTTCCACCTTAAGTTGATAAGTAATGATAGTGAATTATCGGCCCTGGCTGCAACACTGCAATAAAACATCCGTTTACATAATAAAAAACTTCCCCACTCTGAATAGAAAGAGTGACAAACACAGTTGTGGGAAAAAGATCCATGAAAGTTTTAAAGCTGCTCCCATTATTTTTCCTAAATAGAGGTGATTCTCTGCGGGTGTAAAAGTAAAAAGTAGCTCAGAGCCTGTAAATGTAAAATCATGTGGCAAAGAGAAGTCAGCACAGTCGCAGGAAAAAGACGACAGTAACCATTCTTCCTTGTCGTATATTTATTTCTCTTCTCATAATGCGACCCATTCACAGCACACACAATGGGCCTCCAGTGTGAATGAATGCTACTGTGTTATTTACGACACAACATCCTTTCAGAGAGGGAGAAAAAAAGAACAAAGAGGTAAAAAAAAAAAAAAAAAATGCCTCCAGTACCCTGGTGACCATCTCAGCACCAGTCAGCGAGGTCACTCTCCTCTCTAGGACTTTTTTCGCTCCCTCCTGGTGTGTTTACTCTGCGATGAGTCTGAGCCCTTTTACACTCCCCCTGTGTTTGCTCTCCTCTGGTGTGAAGTACCGAGCTGGATTCCACATTCCCCTCAGACTGGCTCGCGGCCAGCGGCTGTTTGTGTTTGGAGCTCATGTGAGAGAAAGTGGCTGCGGGCGAAACGCTGGCATGTGAGACCATGTGAGAACGGCCGTCGACAAACTGATGAAACATGGGCTTGAATTGGCAGTGAAAGTGCATGCATAGGATGTATGTGTGGAACCAGCTGGTAGCTCAGTGTAGTCAGCAAGTCAGTCACTCTTTACTGAGCTTTGATGTGCTGCTGCTCCCACTGCCTGGAACCTCCTGCAATTAGGTTGAAAGCTCAAAAAAAAAAGGTCTCTGTGTCTGATTTACTGATTTAGATTTGTTATTGTTCAATACTTTTCGGCCACTTTCACACCTTTAGTTTGGTTCTCTTGATTTGGAAAAAAAATCCCATTGTTGCTGTTAAATTCTGGCCAATTTCATGCTCACACTAGCTTATCACAAACCACAGACTGTAAATAAAGATGAACGTCGCCTTCATGATGTCACCCATAGGTTTCTGAAGCTCAGAGTGGGCTGCTCCGCTGTCACCGTCTTGGCAGCACCTGACTCTGCCTGACTAATCTAAAAATGGGCAAAGAGGTGGGACGTTAGCTGAAATTAGCTGAGGTCAAACCTAGCATACAGCTAGCGGACTGTGACGGGACACACCTGCATAAAACTAAAAATTTAAGGGGGATAGTTGTGTGGTTGCCAAACTTTACTCCCTTTTTAAATGAGGAACTGCTAAAACATGGGGAGGAGAACACAATACAACATGCTGCTTCTTAGTTTGTGACACATGAGGAAAAATCCTTGCACTCACATGCTGACATGCATGCACAGATGATGCCATGCATACCAAACAATCTGCTCTATATATATATATATATATATATATATATATATGCAGTGTATTTATAATTACACTTTTTATACAGATGGTTTGCTTGACAGTTCACAGATAGCAGATGGATGAAATGGTAGTTAGCGTTTGAATTCATGCTAATGTCGCCGCGTATATAATCCTGTTGTTGACCCCCTTTGCTTTCTTAGAAAATAGTTTTCAGTTTGCTTTTGAGTGAGAGAACGGGACCAAAGTAACCACACTCACCGTCTGCAGATCTGGATCTTACTCTAGGGTCATCAGAGAACATCACCTGAGGCCTCAGAAAGCCAGTGAAGTGATCTAAGTAATATGACTGCAGAGAGGCAGCCTCCAAGTTATTACCAAGTCCAGTTAAAGCTGAGGGTCAAAGGTCAAAGTGTGAGCTGAAAGAACCTGAAAGCCACGAGCAGGGTTTAAAGGTTTGTTATACTCCCTCCTTTGCTATGGCTTTAATCAGATGACTAAATCACACGGACGTTTGATAAGCTTTTTGTAACCCAGATGCAGCTGTCACCCAGGGCAGGGTTTCATTTTGCTTTTAATTGCAGGATACGCTCAATGCTGGATAAAAGTCAAGGCTACAAGGTAAAGAGATGAATCACACACATTAAGGCTTGGTGTGTAAATAAAAGATAAAGACAATGTGAAACTATTACTAAAGACATTTTATAAGTGTGATCATTACTTTTCCTTATCCATGTTTTGTATGTCTTATACATGAGTGGACGGGGGGGGGGGGGGGGGGGGGTCATAACAATAAAAATTAAGATTCCTTCATGATATATAACATTAAGCTTCAGGGAAAAAGATCAGATGTGTTATTTCACAAAGCAAAAGCCACATTACAGAATCTCAGTAATATTTAGGTTATCTACTAACGGAAGTATCATGAGTTGAGATATGTTAGGATGTGGGTGGTTGGCTTATCACCTCTGCTGAATAGTTTCCTGTGGTAAACCCTGAACTAACTGATGCAGCACCTCCTAATAAGTGACACTAGGTAAAATGGTCATTATTTGAGGGCAAATGAATTAATAAAGTGACAGTTTAATAGAGGTGCAACCGGTTAATTTATGCGTTTCAGAACATGGTTTGATGCATCATTTACCAAAGTCTCATCACTGAGAATGACTAATTTCCGCTCTCTATGCATATGTTAATCCTGAGGCTGATATTTTCCTGGTGACCTCAACACTTTCAGTTAATGGCTCTGCTGCTTATTTAGCCTCACATGCCTCTGGTTGGTTGATTTGCCAAGCTTCTGTATCAGCCAGTGTAAAGTGAAATTTTCATGCATTTCTGGCGTAACGCCTCTGTTTGCAGCTTGGATGACCTCTTCCCAGTGTTTTATAAACAGTTTCCTGTTTCCTTCCTGGTGGCAGCATGTTCTGCTTTCATAGCGTTGGAGACACTGCTCGATTTACTGTGACTGGGTTATTTTGAAGCTGAAAAGATGCATATTTCTTCTCTTTAAACCTGGCTTAAAGAAAACCTAAAGGTGACTGGACCTGCTGGTCATTCTTAAACATAGACATTAACACTAATAACAGCGCACACACACACAAACACACCCTGTTGACTTGAGTTAAGCCTCTGTGTGACCCATTTATAACAGACTACTGTCACAGGTTAATCACTGTTTGTCACCTTTAAAATAAGACCCCTGTCGGCATTTGTAGTTCTGTACAAATCTTTGTAAAGAAGAACATGAAATTAAACCGGACCTATAAATATATTTATTAAACTTGTTGCTGACTTTCTTTAATTAAATGTGATTTCTTTTGAGGAGATTAAGTGTCCGTCTTTGTTAGGACAGGCAGAACACAGGTTTCTATAATCACTAGGATTACTACGCAGCTACCATAACATAGTTAGAAAACAGAGTTGTTGTTTTTTCCTCTTTGTCTTGGCTTATTTTTACTGCAGGCACAGTAGCCATCTGGAGCATGAACTTTGTTCTTAAATGCCCTGGCTTCCCTCATACAACTTTCACTTTCATTATTAAGTTTTCATTCTCCAGCAGCTCTGTGCCTCATGGTGACTGCACGACTTCATTCTCCTCACATAAACTTGCCTCAGGTCTTAAGTCTGGATTTTGGAATAAGACATCAGAGCCCCCAAAAAACCTTTGCAGTCTCTGTCTGTATTATATACTATTTAAATGTTTAAACTGTTGCTGAAGCAACAGTGACAGCAACGATAATAAAACAATACATTACATGAAAACTTAAAGCTCAGGCATGTGAGGAGGTTTGACGGTCAGGATATTAATTCAGTCTGTGGAAGGACCTCAGCAGCAGAGATACAGTATATACAAGTGTGCATGGGTATTTTAGGAGTGTGAGTGTTTATAACCTGTGTACACCTATGAGCCCGCGTGTGTGCGCAAGCGTGCCCAGGGTGGAGCAGGAAATTTCAGGTTCCACTAACCTGAGTCACCTTCAGATCACAGCAGGGTGTGGGTGCTGACTGTGCTCTTTAAAGGACACTTACACTGTGATTTAGGTTTTTGCCCAATTGTTTTACTGTTTTACAATGTGTTGCAGTGTTTAATGACAGTAGAGGATGCAGCGTTTTCTCAAAGTTAAAGGTTTAAGGTAAATGCTGTCTTATTAGTAAAGTGCTGTGGGTAAAGAAGAGTTTATATTTCTAAGGATCTGATAGGAGGATCGTGCTCAGTTTAATGTTTGATTTTAATGTTCCAACGACTAGAGAATAGGGAATTTGATTCATCTCGATCTTGATGAAAATCCTTTTGAGAAAAGACATCACGTTGTTTTTGTTTACTGTTTTGAAACTGACTGTGAATCTAAAAGCCTGAGAGCTGAGGTGAGATTGTTTCTAAAATGTGTGAAATGAAAAACAAAATAATAATAATAAAAAAAAAAAAAAAACCTCAATAAAACATTTCCGCGCTGGAACTGGAATTGCCTCAAGTCATGGCAAAATAGCTGCCTGCATATTGATGCAAGTGATTTCATTTAATGTCACTGACTTGATATGCAAAAGGTTTGACCTAGTGTGTTTATCTGTGATGTAATTACACTGCGGTTTATATGAAAGAAAATGCTCATGCTGTTACTGTTGCTTTCAACTCCCACATCCACCCACGACTCCTGCAGTTTTTACACTGCTGTCTCTTCCTTTGTGTGTCTGTCTCGCTTTCTCTCTTAGAGCAGTGTTGGGACCCCTGTTAGACCTTCCTCCTCCTGCCCAGACTCTGTTTGTGGTGGTGGACTCCCTGGATGTAGGGCATGGGGTGGGTGCAGGAAGTAGGAAGAGCGACTCCATCGCGGAGCTCCTGGCCGCCAACCAACACCTGCTGCCTGGCTGGCTGCTGCTGGTCTGCTCCGTCCGCCGCAACAACAAGGCTGTGTGCAAGATGTTCTCAGGTATGACGAAAGAGGAACTTGTCAAAGAGATTTTATGAATTTGAACCTTTATGAGTCTAGACATTAAAAATAAATCACAGCAGTCATGAGGGTCAGGGAGGGAAAGTATTTTATAAGTCACAGTTTTAGTTTTTCAGCAAGTCAAGTTTGACAAATACTTACTGACATTTTTACAAAAATGTTTGTCTTAAAGTCTTAATAATGTGTATATTTTTAAATCCTGTGATAATATGCAACATTGCAATGATAGCACACAGCAGAAATGTGAAAACACTTAGCAACACCTAAGATTCTTTTTGTGGATCAAGCATCTAATGATGAAATCATTATTACTGGCGACCTTAGCATTATACATTAACAATACTTCAAGTGGCTGTGCAAGTGCTGAATAAGAAATAAAAGAATCTGCTGTGTCTTGGCTACAGTTTTGATCTTGTGTGCAGACTCAAAGTCTGAATTTGAAGTGGCCCTAATAAGATGGAGAATCTCAGCCAAGATTTTTTATGTAACTATAGCAGAAGGGATCTTTTGACTGTAACTCTTGTTAAAAGTTGGCACTAGCTTGAGTGCTCTGGTTAGCTGTTCCAGCTTCATTTTACTAACAAATTACAAATGAAGGAGGGAAGTGTTGTTTTGTAGCAGTAGAACCTGATGACCAACTTATACAGCACAGTAGGGCTGCAGCTAACAATTATTTTGTTAGTGATTAATCTTCTGAATGTTTTTTTATTTGTCTATAAAATGTCTTTCTCCAATCAACACAGCAAACCCCAGAGGCATTAAATGACTGTCATACATGACACAGAAAGGCATTAAATCCCACATTAGAGAAGCTGTAAGAAGCAAATGTTTGGCTCTATCTATACATACATCTATCTGTATAAAAATGTAGGTGTGCCCAAAACAACACTGTTGTCAATACAGGTATAGAGAGGTAAAGGATGGGCAGGTCAGGTGAGGCAGTCTGATGATTATCAGTGGGATACACAGGGATAGAAGAACCAAAATAACATAACATGCCCTGGTATAACTGCACCACCTCTTTCTGTGTTGTAGGTTTTCGTAAGCTTTGTCTGGATGATCTGCGGAAGCCGCCGCCAGTCCACGACGTGCAGCAATACATCCTCTGCCGGCTGGATGAAGAAGCATCACTTCGCCGTCAGCTCACCCCCGACACAGCTGACATGCTGAATTTACTGCACATCAAGAGCGGCGGCTGTTTTCTCTTCCTCGAGCGTGTGCTGGACGGTGTGGCAGCCGCGCTGGTGGGTCTAAGGGAGATCCGGGACATCCCCGGGACTCTCAACGGCCTCTACCTGTGGCTGTGCCAAAGACTGTTCCCCCGGGGGCTCTTCATGTACATCAGGCCCCTGCTTAATGTGCTCTTAGCTGCCCCGAGGCCCCTCACCCCCCAGCAGCTGTTCACAGCAGCCTGGACTCATGACACTTCGCTCAGCCTCCAGGACTTTCAGAACAAACTCCGAACCCTCTCTCCTCTCCTGATCGATGGCCCTGGGGGCACCAAACTACTTTTTCATGCCAGCTTTGCTGAGTGGCTGACGGATGTCAAGTATTGCACACAGAAGTACCTGTGTAGCAGAACAGATGGACACAGCATGCTCGCCATGGCTTTGACTCTGCAAGGACCCCACTTGGACATTGAGGGCACTTGCCAGCTAGCCACACATTTAGTTTGCTCCGGTCACCATAAAGATAACCCTTCATTGTTGGCTCTATGGATGCTGTGGGCCGGTGTGCCTGCTCTAACTCCCAGCTGCAGCCGCGCCCTCTCCACCTCCTTAAGTCAGCCTCCTGTTCTGGTCAGTCAGGAAGTTCTTCAGCTCTTAATGAGGACTGGGCTTGTCCCTGCAGCCTGTTTTTCAGATGAAGACCCAAGTGTTGGAGTGCATTGTATAGGTGAAGAGGGAACTAATTTAAGACCGGCATTTGAAAGAGAGTTGTCTGTAAAGAAGCTGCTAGACAGCGGGGTGTCTGCAAACCAGCTACATTCTACAGATGGACAGACCTTGCTTGCCAGTGCAGCCCATGAGGGTTCTGCAAATGTAGTTCAACTTCTCCTGACACATGGATCCGATCCACTGATCAGTGATCATCAGGGTCAAACGCCACTGTCTTTGGCCTCCAGGCAGGGTCATGTCAAAGTGCTGTCTGTGCTCCTGGAATGGGCCAAAAGCCGGGAGCCAGAAACTGCAGCTCAGATGATGGAGCATGTTGACAGTGAGGGCTGGACATCACTGCGCTCTGCTGCTTGGGGAGGACACAGCGAGGCTGTTCGGCGTCTCCTGGATGCAGGAGCAGATGTGGATGGATGCGACGGCGAGGGCCGGACTGCTCTCAGAGCCGCTGCGTGGGGCGGTCATGAGGAAATTGTTCTGACGCTGCTGGACTATGGGGCTGAGGTTGACAAAGCTGACAGCAAGGGCCGCACGCCGCTTATTGCTGCTGCCTACATGGGACACCATGAAGCTGTGGAGATATTGCTAGACCGCAATGCAGAGGTTAACTTGGCGGATGGAGATGGGCGCACTGCTTTGTCAGTCACTGCCCTCTGTGTCCCTACAGCAGCAGGGGTCAAAGGTTATGGTGAGGTAGCAAGTCTGTTACTGGAGCGTGGAGCTGATCCAGGACACAGAGACCACGATGGCATGACACCACTGCTTCTTGCAGCGTATGAAGGCCATGATGAGGTAGTTGAACTTCTGCTAGAAGCTGGTGCTGATGTGGATGAGACTGCCGGCCCAGATGGCAACGTCCCTGCTGCAGCGGCCGTTACCCCCTTACTGGCAGCTGCAGCAATGGGCCACATGAAGACAGTATCTCGTCTGCTCTTCTGGGGAGCAGCTGTGGATGCCATTGATTGTGAAGGCAGGACGGCACTCTGCCTGGCAGCAGCAAGAGGCAGCACCGAGGTTGTCCGTGCCCTGCTGGACCGAGGACTGGACGAGAACCACAAGGATGACCTTGGCTGGACTCCACTGCATGCTGCTGCTTGTGAAGGCCATCGGGCTGTTTGTGCTGCTCTGACAGAGAGAGGGAGCATGGCACGTGTTGGAGAGATGGACATTGAAGGACGCACCCCTCTTATACTGGCTGCCCAGGAAGGTCACTGGAGCACTGTCAGGCTGTTGTTGGACAGACGTTCTCCCATTGACCACAGGGCCTACGATGGACATTCTGCCTTGAGTGCCACCATCCTAGAGGGCCATGCTGAGGTGACAGAGCTGCTCATGAGGCGAGGGGCTGATACTGACGTACGGGATGCAGAAGGAAGACCTCTGCTCTACCTCCTGGTGTTGGAGGGTCAACTTGAGATGGCTACTCTGCTAATAGAGAAAGGAGGGGTGCCCCTAGAGTCCCGAGACTCTGAGGGCCGTACAGCGCTTCATGTGGCTTCCTGGCAGGGTTGTATTGAGATGGTAGACCTACTTTTAAAACATGGAGCAAACCCCAATGCACAAGATACAGAAGGGAGACCACCAATGCATTCAGTGGCTTGGACAGGACATGCTGAAGTAGGACATCGTCTCCTAGAGGCCAGCGGTGTCAACATAGACCTTGCTTGCCACCAGGGGGCAACATCTCTGAGCATCGCTGCCCAGGAGGGACATGCTAACATTGTGGCAATGCTTCTGGAAAGAGGTGCAAATCCTGATCATATGGATAAATATGGCCGCAGTCCAGTCAAAGTGGCTGGAAAACACAGGCACTTTAACATCGTCAGGCTCCTGGAGAGCTACGGAGCCAAGCCATACCTAGGCCCGTTGCCAAACTCTAGTGCTATCTCCCCCGCAAAACTCAACAAGATCCGCTCCTCAGACATCTCAGAGAGTAACGGAGGTGACGTAGCAGCTGCTACCTCTTCCTCTTCGGTATCTTCTCCTGGCTCCACTGCAGAACGATTCCACTCCATGCAGAGCTCCCAGACCTCATCTACCTGCCACTCACTGGCCACGGTGCAGACAGTGCCAGCTGACAGTCTCAGCTTCATCCAGCAGATCCAACAACACTCACTGCCCCGCAGTCGTAGCCGTCCCTCCACGCTCCCTCCACCGGGGAGCTCAGGCATGGGCAGCCACCAGGGAAGCTTCCAGCGGCATCCCAAAGGCAGCCCCCCTCCCACTGTTTGCACTGTCACTGCTATGGTGCACAACTGCGAACCGCGTCAGAAAGGCTTGTCACCTGGACTTGAATGTCACGACAAAATGAAGCAACAAAATTCACACTTAATAAAAGCAGACAGGACTACTTACGCTGGTGGTAAATGGCACTCAGTCATGGCTTCCCTCGGGATAATGCCAGGGCAAGACAGTCCTGCAGTAGGTGTTAAAAACAGAGAGAGCCCTCCTCTGGGCTACCCATATAGACTACAGAGCCCACTTCAAGGGGAAGCTTGGGATTCTCTACCCCAGAAAAACATTTTGTCACCTGCTTGCTACAGTTTTACCCCAGTCCCACACTGTAGTGCCTTGCAAGAGGACGTTATGGTTGCAATGTCGACCACAGACCCGCAGCTTAATCTGAAACAGGCCATCAAACTGCAGTTTGAGGGTCCCACCAGTGCAGCCTTATACAAGAGAGAGACACCCCTGTGACTCTTGCTCAAGTAAGAGACTTAAGTTAGCTATCGCTACACCTTCTTCACAAACTTTTTTCTTTTCTGAAATGACCAGTTCATTGACAGTAAATACTGAAGTTGAGTCATTTATGAAGCAAATATTGTCCACCATCTCAAATGTGGCGATTTTCTGCTTTTCTTTGTTTTATATAATATTAAATTAAAATGTATGGTTTTGGTAGTTTAGTTGTTTGGAAAAAAATAATTGACAGATCGATTTGATAATGAAAATAATCATTACTCACAGCCCCAGTGTGAGTATTTACATGTTATTTTGTGATATCACAACAACAAAAATAGTTGTCTCTGGTGACATACATTCATACTGTTGACTGAAATCTGTCTCTTAATGACAACTTCTTTGTTTTAGGTGGAGTTGGACATTTTTGCAGTTCAAGGAGAAGGCGCTTTTCACCGTGTACAAAGACTTTCTGGGTTCAGATGAGAGAGGAAGTGATGTCGTTCTCCACCCACCTTTAGAAACCCAGAGGAAGAACAAACTGAAAGACATCCAAGCTTCATACCTCTCCGATGCCTCTCTTGTGTGTTGAGCCGGGCTCTCACAGACCAAATCATACTATAATCACTCATTTAATAACTGTTCATTTTCAAATTGGACCCATTGAATTCAGTTCCACAAAAAGGCTTTTTTATTGACTTTATTTGGCCCCAATAGGACTGAGTCTGGATTCACACATAGGATAACAAGACTTTTTTTTAGCTCTACAGTGAATAACACTCAGTATTATGGAGTGAAAGTGTTTAGGTTGGGTTATGTTTTAAATTATTTTTTGCTGGTAAACAACCTTGTTTAAGAGCTTTAAGCTTGTGGCCTTGATCTCTATTGAAGCTTTTTATATTTACTATAAACTGGCCTACACCCCCCATAGGTCTGTTGCTGACAACCAAACCAACAGTTTGCATAAAAGCAAGCCTACCAAAGCCTGACCCAGTATGGGATTTATGAGACAAACTACAAAGGACAGCCAAGTTTACTGAACCAGTTTGGCTTGTTCACTGTGTGTCTGTGAACAAGCAGGAAGGAACATTAAAATCTGACCATTAAAAACCGAGGGTGGACGTGGGGGTGATGGACCGAAATTTGTATGTGGCCTAAAGAAATGTGTAGTTCTTTTATCATTTTTTTCATTGGATTCATATTTAATTACATTCATTAATTAAAATAGCAAATTGTCCACCTCTGCTCTGTCTGCTTATTTGTGTGGTTATATTTCATGCACTTATGCACTATGACTAAATGTCAGGGATAGCTTCTGATGTGGAAGCATCATGCAGAGATGAAAGTCTAGCAGCCCTCTGATGGTGGCCACCTGGGATTATAGAACCAGGCCCTTAAGGGCTGTTTTGAAACGGAAGAAAGGAGGGCTCTGCGCAGAGATCCAATAGTGATTTGTTCTCCATTTTTGTGTTATGTTGTATCTGTGAAACTTTTTAGATATTTGGACATTGGGAATTACATTTCCGAAGTGTAATTCCCATGTGCACTTTGATGATGGATACATGTGTTAAACATGTGAATGGTTTGGCTTCATTATTTAATGGACCTAAATGTGCAGAGCCATTCTTTCTTCATATTTGATGGTTATGACCTTGCACCTTTAGCATTATGTTCTCGCTGATGTTAGACACATAACTCCGTTACTTGAATCTACAGCACAGTTAATGATGTATAAGAGTTTATACAATCAGATGTACATATGACATGACCTGATAAGTTAGCTTGGCCCAAGCAGGTTAAACCTCTTCTGTCACCACCTACTCTCTGTGATGACTTGTTTAATGTTTCAATACAGAGAGCCAAGCCTTCACTATTTATAGCCTCTAGCTATACTCTGTACCACTTGTAAATTCAATGCATTTCCTCATGGAGGGTGTCTTTCATCTGTTTTTTTGGAAGAATGTTTCTGGGCTCCTTTTATTCAAAGCTAAACGTGCATCTACTAAATTGCTGGGCAGTAAAATGAATACCTCGTCATTTTAACTCACATTTATTTTGTTACTATTCAGCTGCCGTTCCCCTGGAGTCTTAGCAATTGGTTCATGTTAGCTGTTGTTGAATGCCAAGAAAATGTTTCTATCCTGTAGAATATGAATACAAACCTCCACAGAAATGTAATGTTTTTTTTGGGGAGGACTGGCAAAACAACTGTTCTATGAGAAAGCTAAATGTAGTGGAACAAAGCTAAGACAGATGTTGTGTGGGACTTGGACTCTCTATAGCCAAACACACAATGCTGTGTTGTCACTGACATACATTTCTGTTTCCGTTGTCAGACAAATGCTCAAATGAGTGTTCACAGAGGCTTGGAGGCTGAATGTTGCTGTTTGTTAAACTGAATTCTTGACCATATCTGTGAAGATTGACAGCCATGCATCAATGTTTAAAAAAAAAAAAAAAAACTTTTCCCGCTCCACGTATTTGAAGAGCATTTTGAAAATCTCTCTTCTCAGCGGTGGAAAATGTCAGCTATGTGGCAGGATGTGGAATATGTGCTTTGAAATCATACACATTAGTGAAGACATTCTGCATTCAGAAGAGTGTAGTGTACTTTATTTTAGAGCCAGAGTCAGCACTGTCGTCAGGGTGACCACCAACAAAGAGATACCACTGCACACATGCTGTTTACTCATTGAGCACTTTATAAGGAACGCCATACTAATACGATACCGCAATTATTTGTGGCATGGATTCCACAAGATGTCGGAAAGTTTCACAAAAATTTCTGCAGATTTGTCAGCTGCACATTCATGCTGCCAAGCTCCTGTTCTACCCACATCCCAAAGGTGTTCTACCGGATTCACATCTGGTGACTGGCCCCTGGAGAACAATGAACTCATTGTCATGTTCATGAAAGGCTGCTGCATGCAAACATTGATTGATTGGTATTAAGATACCAAAGTGAGCCGAAAAAAACCTGCACCATTACACCACCAGCAGCAGCCTGGACTGTAAACGCAAGGCAGGTTGGGTCCATGGATTCATTCTGTTGATGCCAAATTCTGACCCTACCATCTGCATGCCTCAGGAAAAATCCAGATTCATCACACCAGACTACGTTTTCCCAGTCTTCAACCAGTTTTGTTGAGCCTGGATCTGCAGGATTTTATGCCTTGCACACAGCTGCATTAATAAGCAGGTGAATAAGTGTACCTAATAAAGTTCTCGGTTAGTGTATGCTTGTATGCGCAGGCAAATCATGCTACCAAGTAGTGCTGACAGCTGTTACTGTAGTCGTTGAAAGGCAGTAGCTTTCAACGGCTCTGCCTGTCCATAATCTCCCTGAAAGAGACATGAGTCTACACGCTGTCTTTAACTTAAGGCACACTAAGTACAAAAGCAAACTTGTTTTGGAAATGTGTAATATTTGTGAAAATGGTCAAATGCTGTGCTTTGAAGACAAGAATCCGAAGGTAACAACCAGGTGCGCAGTGACCCCGACACAGTTAAAATACAGTAATATTCTTTATTTGCTTGACATTATGAAACTCAGACTATGAGCTTGTTATACTGTAAAGAGGCACTTTACTCTGTGCATAATCTAGTATTTATGTTGGTTTGTCGTGCGTAGGAGTCCAGTCATTTCCATAATTCTTCCTCCATAGCAAGTGTGAATTAAAGCAACATCAATGAATACAATGAGCACAATATTAAAGCGTTAATCTTATATTTCTAAATTTAAGCAAGGCTTTTTCCCTTACATATCAGTTTAAAGTTAATTTGATAAGTGTATTTACTTTGGTTTGAATATTAGGCAGCTTGTGAGAGAGTTAAGGGTGCTCCTCTTTGTTAGTAATATTTTTCAACTTATTCTGAAGGAGTGCTGCAACATTGCAATGTTTTTTAATGATTCAAATGTATGATTATAATATTGCTTTATTGATTATTATTGATTATTTATTGATTAATATATTATAATATATTTTAATATTAATATATATTAAAAAATTGTTGATTGAAAAAGATTGGACTGATTGTCTGGAAGCGACTGTCTACTGTAAATAGAATTGGGCAAATAAAAGGGGGAAGAAAAGGCTGGTGAAATGGAGAAAGGGACTTACAGCTTAGTTTACAGTAGAACAGGAAAACTGAATGACAGATTGAACAGCTGCCTAGGAAACAAGGCGGCTCGCTGACTGGAGAACAATGGAGAGACAGGATAGGAAAGAGCTGATGGGAAACAGGTGGGCCTGCTGAGATGGAAACAGGAAGATTTTCTGCAGAGAAGGAGATGCAGTTCACAGTGATCACAGTGAAGAGACAAAAATTAAGACTGGGGTCAACTGTAGGTCCAGGAAGCCATTCCAGGGTTGGTTTCAAAGGTAACATTAGTATCTAGCACCTCCATCTAGTGGACAAAGTAGGAACATACAACAAGTTTTCCACCCAAACTCTACAGTATTTTGTTTAACTGAGTTTTGACTTGACTTTTGAGAGAAATCAGAAGCTGCATATAACAATAATATTTTGTATAACAAGCTTAATGAGCTAAATCTGCTGCTTAATATTCAAAATTTCATGTGTTTTTAATTTAAAAATCTTACACAATGAGACTATCCAGATGCTGCAGAAGCTTTACACTGGCTATGTTTTATCTGTATGGAGGTACATTTGTCTCAATATTATTTATGTGAACACATTCAGAATCCCTGTGTAAATGTGTCATCTGTAAATATAAAACACCTTCCACAATTACAAAAAATGAATTTGTAAGATTACAAAAATATTTATAAACCGGATATGAAAATACATAAACAAATTTCACTACATAAAAGGTTTTTATGACATAGTTAACTATGTCGTTTTTTGACATTGGTGTGCCTCACTATACTATGACTACACCATACTATACGTTGGTATACTATGATGTTTTTTGAAGTTTTTATGCCTTATTGTACTATGACGTCTTTTGACATTTTATGCTCTACTATACTATGGCGTTTTTATGCCTTACTATACTATGACGTTTTTTGACATTTTTATGCCTTACTATACTATGACGTTTTTTGACATTTTATGCCTTACTATTCCATGACGTTTTTATGCCTTAATACACTATGGCGTTTTTATGCCTTATTATAGTAATACGTTTTCTGACATTTTTATGCCTTATTATACTATGACGTGTTATGACATTTTTATGCCTTAATATACTATGGCGTTTTTTGACATTTTTATGCCTTATTATACTATGATGTGTTATGACATTTTTATGCCTTACTATACTATGACATTTTTTGACATTTTTATGCCTTACTATACTATGACGTTTTTATGCCTTATTATACTATGACGTTTTTTGACATTTTTATGCCTTACTATACTATTACGTTTTTTGACATTTTTATGCCTTATTATACTATGGCGTTATTTGACATTTTTATGCCTTATTATACTATGACGTGTTATGACAATTTTATGCCTTACTATACTATGATGTTT